GGCAAAGAGTCAGACATAACTTAGTGACTAAACAACAGCAGGATAAGGAGCCTGCCTCAAGGAGCCTCAAGTCCAATTCCTGCCTCAAGGAGTCTCAGTTTAGTGGGGAAACCGGCTCAACCAACTGGAATATAGTAGGCTGTGGCTTCTGCTCAGGAGAGAGAGCAATTACTGTGTGAATCCAAGGAAGAGAGAAGTTCCTTCAGCCAGGAGGAGGCTTTTAGGAAGGTGTGGTGTGCCAGCAGGACACTGAAGGATGAAGGAGAGGATGAGGTGAGGGGGAGGGAGAAAGGGGAGGTGAGGTTGAAGGCAAGCCTGGGGATTCAAGATCCGCCTCCATAGACCTGGCTTCTCCCCAGAGTCTCCCTTGCTGGCTTCTGCTGAGCCTGCGAGGCCTGGTGTTAAATGGAGAGCATGTGGGATAGAGTGGCTTTATGACTATGGGAACCGAAATCCTCCTGCTGTGGGTACTCGCTGGCACCTGGGACAGGGCCTATGCTTTGGGAGCGTCCACTGCCCAACGCAGTGACCTCGGAGTGAATTCAAAGTCGAGAGTCCCGGGAGAGCAGTTGCCACCACTCACCTCCGTGAGCGCAGATAGTAGGAGAGGAGTCTGCACACGCAGGGGATTGAGGTGGGAGCAGGCCAGACTCATTGCTCCCTGGGATATGTACACAGCCAATTCAAGAATAATTGATCCGTCCTCGGAGGAGCGTTAGCACGCACGCATGCATGTACAGAGAAGAGGTGCTTTAATTTAAAAGCAACTTCTCGGGCTTCTCTCATGGTCCAGTGGTAAGGAATCCACCTGCCAATGTGGGATACACGGGTTTGATCCCAGATCTGGGAAGATCCCACATACTGCGGGGCAACTAAGCCCATGTGCCACAACTACTCAGCCTGTGCTCTGAAACCTGGGAACCACAACTACTGAAGCCTGCTGGCCCTGCAGCCTGTGCTCCACAACAAGAGAAGCTACCGCAATGAGAAGCCCTCACTCTGCAGCTAGAGTAGCCCCCTACTCACCATAAGTAGAGAAAAGCCCGCGAAGCAGTGAAGACTCAACACGGCCAAAAATGAATAAAAAAACAAACAGAAAACCCAACTTCCTCTCTTCAGTCTTGTTTAAGAGCAGGCCTGTCTGGGCCCAGGCTCTGAGTGCATGAGTTTGTTTCTTTTCAGCCTTGCTTCCACCTCAGGGCTTTTGCACTTTCTGGTTCTTCATCTTGAATTACCCTTTCACCACATACACACAGCCTCCCTTCTTCATCTTCTCGAGTCCTTGCTCATCTGGTCCCTTTTCAGTAAGGTGTCCCTGACTTCCCTGAATAAAGATGCAGCACATTAACAGTGAAACATCAGTAATTGCCAGGGCTCAGTGGTGAGACACTAGACACTAGAGAGCATATTAAAAAGTAGAGACATTACTTTGCCAACAAAGGTCCGTCTCGTCCAGGCTATGGTTTTTACATTTATATGGATATTTTTACAGTTATATGGATGTGAGAGTTGTACCATAAAGAAAGCTGAGCGCCAAAGAATTGACGCTTTTGAACTGTGGTGTTGGAGAAGACTCTTGAGAGTCCTTTGGACTGCAAGGAGATCCAACCACTCCATCCTAAAGGAGATCAGTCCTGAGTATTCATTGGAAGGACTGATGCTGAAGCTGAAGCTCCAATGCTTTGGCCACCTGATGTGAAGAGCTGACTCATTGGAAAAGACCGTGTTGCTGGGAAGGGTTAAAGGCAGGAGGAGAAGGGGGCGACAGAGGATGAGATGGTTGGATGGTATCACCGACTCAATGGACATCAGTTTGAGTAAACTCCGGGAGTTGGTGAGGGACACAGGGAGGCCTGGCGTGCTGTGGTTCATGGGGTTGTGAAGAGTTGGACACGACTGAGCGACTGAACTGAACTGAGTGGTGAGAAAAAGGATGAGGAGCAGAGCACAGAAGGTTTTTTAGAGTTGTGATACTACATTGCATGATACTATAATGGCGGATCTCTGTCATCAGAAGATTTTCCACGGCATGTACATCAAAGAGTGAGTGTGTTAGTCACTCAGTTGTGTCCAACTCTTTGCGACTCCATGGACTGTAGCCCATCAGGCTCCTCTGTCCATGGAATTCTCCAGGCAAGAATACTGGAGTGGGTTGCCATTCCTCATCCAAGGGATCCTCCCAACTGAGGGACTGAACCCAGGTCTCCCGTACTGTAGGCAGATTCTTTACTGTCTGAGCCACCAATGTAGGTTCAGTTGCAACAAATGTACAACCTTCCTGGGGAATGTTGATGTGGAAGAGGCTATGATTGTGTGGGGGCAGGAGGAGTATAGGGGACATCTGAGTACCTTCTGCTCTATTTTGCTGCGACCTAAAATTGCTTTTTTTCTTAAGTGTATTTTTAAAAAGGCATCCCTGGACTTCCGTTTCTCTGAAATCTCTGTTCTTAGTTTCATGTGTGTCTTTTTAATTGTTCTTCATTGCACCTGCACACCAGTAAACATTTGTATCCCCTCAAAAAGTGCAGCACTTTTCCACACTGTATTTCCTCTTCCTTCTGCTATTTTCTCCATTGCACTTTTTGACACTCAACATGCCACATATTTCATTTACTTATTTTGTTAACTGTCTATCTCTTCTTCTTCCCCTGTCGCACACAATAGAATGTAAGCTCCATGAGGGCAAGGATACTTGTCTGTTTTGTCTGCTTTATGCCTTGTGCCTAGATCAGTATTTGGCCCAAATACATTCCCAATAAATATTTGATGATAGACAGAGAACCTTTCTGAGCAAAAAGACCAGGCTGGCCTGTCTGAGTCCTGCATTCAGCAGTAGCATCTGGGTGACAATATGATCCCGGGAGTGTGGGTGGCCTCAGCAACCTTGGCAAAAGGCCTCAGGAGAAAACACAGTAGAAAGTCTCTTTCCCGGTGGTTGATGCTTAACACTCAGTAAATTTCCATCTTGGCCACTTGTGAGAGCTGTTTGCAAATAAAGCTGTGTTGTGAGGCATCTCCCATCCTCTCTGGCTGATGCTGGGTGGTGGGGAGCTTTGGCTGGACTAGTGCTTCTTGTCAAAGCCCAACTCTCCAGTGGTGGGGGGTGGTGTTTGCTAAGAGAGCTCTTTATTTATTTTCCCTTGAATTTTTTTTTATTTTTTTATTTTTTATTTTTATTTATTTTATTTTTATTTTTTCATTTATTTTTATTAGTTGGAGGCTAATTACTTTACATCATTGCAGTGGTTTTTGTCATACATTGAAATGAATTAGCCATGGATTTACATGTATTCCCCATCCCGGTCCCCCCTCCCATCCCTTGAATTTTTAAAAAACTTTTTATTCTGTATTGGAGTATAGCCGATTAACAATGTGGTAACAGTTTCAGGTGGATAGCAAATGACTCAGCCATACCTATACATGATTTATTCTCTCAGGGGTGGGGTGAGTTCTGTCTCCTGCAGAATGGATGCTTTGCATCCTCAAATGTGGGCACAGATTTTACAGGTAAGCCACAGCTCTGCAGTTGATTATTATTCTAGATTGTTGAGTCCATGTGTGAGGTGTACATTTCCAAGTGGTGATTGATGGGGCTGGTAAGAAACTCACCTTCAAAAGTCCATCACCTTACCCTATATGCGAGACACTAAAAGAGACACAGATATAAAGAACAGACTTTTGGACTCTGTGGGAGAAGGCGAGGGTGGGATGATTTGAGAGAATAGCATTGAAACATGTATATTACCATATGTGAAATAGATCACCAGTCCAAGTTTGATGCAAGAAACAGGGCACTCAAAGCCAGTGCACTGGGACAACCCAGAAGGATGGAATGGGGAGGGAGCTGGGAGGGGAGTTCAGGATGGGGGACACATGTACACTCATGGCTGATTCATGTCAATGTATGGCAAAAACCACTACAATATCGCAATTAGCCTCCAATTAAAAAAAAGTCCATCACCTATACCGGTGGTCTTGGGTGAAGTAGGGCTTCCAAAGAAGCAAAGACAGACTCTGTAGACCATTTTAAGCATAGCATGCTTCATTTCTGTTCTGATACCACTATTTTCTTTCCTTGAAATAGGATAAAATATCTCAGAAGGGGAGAGTGAGAGACAGGAAATCTTTTTGACGTTGTTTTCAAAATGTATGCAGAATCCAACCGCTTCTCACCACTCCCATTGTTATCATCTCTCCTTTGAATTGTCTCCTAACAGGTCCCTCTTCCTCTGTTTTGTCCCGCCTTGGTCTTCATACGGAAGCCAGTATTAAAACCCACATCAGATCATGACACTTCTCTACTCAGAACCATTTTTCTTTTTTTTTAAGGTGTGAGATTTTTATTGCTTAAAAAAAAGGTGTAATCTAATGATAGTCTCTTATCTTTATTTGCTTCAAGACCATGTTTGATTGACTTGACACCTTAGCACCTAAAACTGTGAAAGAGAGGTGGGATTTAATTGGTCTTAATGTGAAAAAAATTTGAGTCACAAAGCATCAAGACAATACCTAGTAGGTAAAAAGCCTGTGTTTCCTCATAACATTTCCCACCTGTTGGTGACACCTTTGTATCTTGACTCCCTAAACATGATGGTCTCCTACCTGGAAAGTAAAAATTAACCACAACAGTATACTCATTTGGGGCTTTTGTCTCATACACAGTAGGGTGTATTTCCAGATTGGGATTGGCTGTTCATTTTCATGAGTCTCACACCAGGGCCTTTTAAGAGAACAAGAGTTGACTCCATCCATTCTAAGGTTTGCTTGATGGTTCAGTTGACATTGTGAGGGTGCACCATACTTGCATGATTGGCCCATTTTAATTAGCTCTATAATTTAAGGGAGATAGTGATGAGAAAATAGAAGGATCAGTGCTTTGCTAAATTTCACATGAAGTATTTCTCTGACTTCAAACATTTGGTTAGTTAAATCACCCAGGAGAACACGTTGGATGGCTTGCTTTGTGTCCTTGTTAGGGTGTAGAACATCTCTGATGGCCTTCAAATTGGCATTGGAAGACTTAACTTCTTTCCTTTAAGGACTTTGGTCACATACAAGTAGAAGAAGTCACAGTAGAAGACGGTTTGTACTACCCCAGACACCACTGCAATTTGGTCATAGAAATTCTCAGTCTGGTACCGCCTGATCCAGTTAGCCAGGTAGAGTGCCCGGTATAGCCCAAGAAAGAACAGATAGTGAGTAGTAATGGTCTCAGCCTCTCCAGTCTTGCTGATCATGAAGAGCTGGGGCAGGATGGCCACTGATTCCAGGTAGATGGAGAAAGTCCAGAGGATCTCTAGAGGAGTGAAACTGTAGTTCTCAAGGAAGGAGAGGCCAATGACAGGGACCAGAAGAAACTCCAGGCGGAATGTGTCATTCTCACCGTCAAACGTTTTCCGAAATTTCCCATAGATCATGTACACTGTGACATAGGCACAGAGGAGAAAAACCACCTTCATTACTGTGTTGTAGATGGAGATGAAGTTGGCTAACAGGTCCAGGTACCTGGTGGTAAAGACGAGAGCGAAAAGGATCTGGCTCTTCCCAGAGATGCCTGCGCAGCACTTGGACCTCCAAATCTTCCCCAGAAGCAAGATCACGGCCAGGAGATGGCTCAGGTCGCCGAGGATCCGAAACACGTTCATGGTCCGGCCCGCGCGCAGCCAACTCCTGGGAAACTTTTCTGGCGGGCGAGGCGGCTGCCACGTCCCCGGCCCCGGCCCCGGCCTGTGGGTCCTGAGCCCCCGAGCTCCGCGCTCCCGTCCGTGCGCCGCCGCTCCGCTAGCGCGCTCTTGGCCGGGCGGTGATGTGGCCGGGCCGTGACGTGGCCGGGCCGGCGGCCGTGCCCTCAGAACCATTTTTCATCTCCCCGCTTCACTGGCTGTTCTCTCCTTCTCTGTCCTCATCTCCATTACTCTCTTCCTCACTCCATTCCTCCATATGTTCCTGGGACATTCTAGGCACACACTTGCCACAGGGCCTTTGCATATGTCATTGCTCAGAGCTCTGTCTCCTTGGCTCACTCTTTTTTGAGATTTGCATTCAAACACCACTTACTCAGGGTTTTCCCAGGTGGTCCAGTGGCTGAGACTCTACACTCTCAATGCAAGGGGCCTGAGTTTGATCCTTGGTCAGGGAACTAGATCCCACATGCCATAACTAAGAGTTTGCATGCTTCAACAAAGATCAAAGGTCCCATGTGCCACAACTAAGACCCAGTACAGCCAAATACTTAAATAAATGTTAAAAAAACCCCACAAATACCGCCTACTCAGATCATGCTATCAAAAGTTCAGTTCTCCTCTAAACACCACATGCTCCCTTTCCTTCTTCATTTTCTCCTTTGTATTTATCACGAACATCCTACCCATTTTTTTTGCATTTTTCTCTTGCTTATTGTTTATCTCCATTACTAGGATAAAAACTCTCTAGCGTCTTATTCTGTTTGGGCTGCTATGACAAAATACCCTAGGCTGGGTGCCTTAAACAACAGAGGTTTATTTCTCACAGTCCTGGAGGCTGCCAAGATTAAAGCATTGGAAGATTCTGTGTCTGGTGAGGACCTGCTTCCTGGTTCATAGATGGCTATCTTTTTGCAGTGTCTTCACATGACAGGAGGGGCAAGGGTACTCTCTGGAGTCCCATTATAAGGGCACTAAACCCATTCATGAGGGTTCCACCCTCGTGACCTAAGTACCTCCCAAGGGCCCTGCCTCCTGAAACCATCTCCTTAGGGGTTATAATTTCAACATATAAATCCTATATGTTGGGGGACAAAAGCATCCAGTCTATAGCAGTGGTCCCTAACCTTTTTGACACGAGGGCCCCGTCTCATGGAAGAATTTTTCCATGGATAGGGGACAGGATGGTTTGGGGATGATTCAAGTGTATTATATTTATTATGCACTTTATTCCTATTTTGTGGCACTCTCAGGATATTCCATCTTGATTTTAGGGTTAGGGTTTATGCTTCCATGAGAATCTAATGCTGCTGCTGACCTGAAGGGAGGTGATGCTCAGGTGGTAATGAGAGTGATTGGGAGTGGCTGTAAATACAGATGAAGCTTCACTCAGTTGCCCGCGGCTTACCTCCTGCTACGAGGACCAGTTCCTAACAGGCCAAGGACCAGAACCGGTCTGTGGCCCAAGAGTTGGGGACCTCTGGTTTGTATCAGTGAATATTTTAGTCTTGTTTCCCAGAGGCAGACCCTGAGGTGAGGATCTGTGGGCAAGTGATTTATTAAGAAAATTCTCCTTGGAGAAACAAGTGGGGGAGGTAGGAGGGATGGAAGAAGAGAGAAGAAATCAAGCAAGGATGAGATTTGATATGAGATTCCAACCTTAGTCTGATTACCAGGGGAACTCTAGAGTGTGCATTACATCTCAGAGTTTTCCTCCTACACAAGTTAGTCACTAGCTGCTGGCTACATGGGTGTGCATATGAGTGTGTGTGTGTGTGTTGGGGTTAGGGGGGTGGACATTACCTCCTGGGCACTTCCTGCTTTGCAGCAGTGAGTGTTGGAGAGGAAATGGCTCCAAAAGTCCAGAGCAGCCCTCTGAAGATCACAGATGCAAGCCTTCAAAAGCAAAGCACACAGAACCTGAAGAGAACTCACAGGACCAGTGAAGGGGATCTGAGCTAAAGCATTTATTGCAGTGGTCCAGGTGGCGCTAGTGGTGAAGAACCCACCTGCCCATGCAGGAGTTACAGGAGATGTGGTTTCAATCCCTGGGTCAGGAAGATCCCCTATAAAAGGAAATGGCAACCCATTCCAGTATTCTTGCCTGGAGAATTCCATGGACAGAGGAGCCTGGTGGGCTATGGTCCATAGGGTTGCGAAGAGTTGGACATGACTAAAGTGACTTAGGACACAGGAGGACCAACTTTTTTGGCATCAGGGACCTGTTTCATAGAAGACAATTTTTCCATGGATGGACATGGTGGTGGGGATTGGTTTCTGGATGATCTGCATTATATTTATAGTGCACTTTATTTCTATTATTTTCACATCAGTTCCACCTCAGATCATCAGGCATAGATCCCAAAGGTTGAAGACCCCTGATTTATAGTGTCAGCTATAATAGGCAAAGGTTCCATTCAGATCCCTGGCCTGCACTCCTCCTCCCCCTGTGTTAATTTGTCTTCATTCATTGGGTACCAGGGGCTTACACAAAAAAACAAGATCATTTCTGGAAGAAAAGGACAGGGACCACCTCTTGGGCCTGAGAGAGAAGAGTCAGGGGAATTTTGCTTTCTAACTGTATCTCCTTTGTCACTGTTGGAATATTTGCCATGAACACATCCTTAATATATGGTTTAAAAATACACATGTGAGGATCTTCCCTGGAGATCAAGTGGGTAAGGCTCCACGTTCCCAGTGTAGGGGTCCCTAGTTCAATCTCTGGTTGGAGAACTAAGATCCCACAAGCGTGCTGCAACTAAGAATCAGTGCAGCCTAAATAAATAAATAAAATATTTTAAAAAGACATGTGTGTTTTACACTCACCACTTCAGTGTTTCTTTCTGAGTCACCTCCTAAACGGTAGGGTCTATGCCATGCCGTGTGAGGTAAGGGTGGTCCCAAGAAGACCGCCTGGTTAGGGAGGTGATAGAAGCTCCAGTGACAAGAGTTCAAATAAAGTCACAAATGAGACAACTAATCCCCCCAGTGGAAGGCAAATCAGAGAATTGGGAACCGTCTTAGGGAGGAAATGGAGATGGGAGTGAGTCTTGAAGCAAGAGCTCCATTTAGTGCAAGATTTTAATTTTTAAAAAAATGTTTATTTTATTTATTTATTCATCCATTCATTTGACTGAGCCTGGTCCCAGTTGCGGCCTGTGGGATCCTTGATCTTCATTGTGGATTTTCTGTTGGGGCATGTGGGATCTAGTTCCCCGACCAGAGATCAAATCCAGGCTCCCTGCATTGGAAGCATGGAGTCTTAGCCACTGGACCACCAGGGGAATCTCAAGGGTTGAGGTTTATATATTGACATTTATATATGCTCTCTGTTCCTAGCACCAGGCTGGGTCTGGGGGTCTGGGCACCTGGACCTAGATGAACTTGGGAAATGTGTGGTTGCTGAGGGAACTCAACCCAAGGTCAGGTCTACAGGCAGTAAGGAGGTGGTTTGTGAAGACAGGTGGGAACAAGGGTGTTGAGCGGGATAAGTGATTGTGACTTCAACAGTGTGTGGTAACCTTTTCTACACAGCGAGACTGTAGTACAGTCACAATGATTTGGAAGGGGTGAAGAGGGCATTTTAAATTCTCACTTCATGCCTGATGACATATTCTAGCCTTCCTGGGACTCATTGTACACTCTCTGTGCACCTACTTGCACAGAGAACACCTTTGCGCTCCCTCTGTACCACGAAATGATACCCCAACTTGAGTTCTATAATTGTTTCATGTGTCTTTGTAATAATAGTAATTATAATGATCACAGTTCCCTCACATGCCTTTTATTAATATACCCAATACCTAGTGAGTTAGTGTCATGTGCCAAATCTATAGATGAAGGACCTGGAGCTTAGCTTGTTTTGGAAAGTGGGGAAGTAGTCTTGAAATCAGGCCTTATGTATGACCTTGCACACCCTACACCCTGGGTTCTGACTGTTATAGCACAGTTGTCTCCTTCCTGGGTTGGTAGTAACTTGGAAACAGGATCCATATTTCGTGATTTAAAAAAAATGTTGTATAAAATTTGGACTTCCCTGGTGGTCCAGTGGTTAAGAATCAGCCTGCCAATGCAGGGGATATGAGTTTGAACTCTAGTCTGGGAAGATTCCACATGTTGCGAGCAATTGAGCCCACGCACCACAGCTACTGAGCTTGCGCTCTAGAGCCTGGGAGCTGCAACTACTGAAGTCTTGAGTGTCCTAGAGCCCATGCTCCACAGCAAAAGAAGCCACCACAATGAGGCCCGTACATTGCAACCAGAGAAAGCCTGGGTGTAGCAATGAAGACCCAGCGCAACCCAAAATAAATAGATTAAAAAAAAAATCCTAATGTACAAAATAATGTGCAAATTTCAATACACAAACTACAATGTGCAAAAAGAGTAACTTTATCTTTTTGAGACTGATCTCTGCTCTGACTCCTGATTACCTTTCATGGTGGAGATATTCTCAGTTAGCCTGTGGTTCCTGTCACCTCCCCCTTGAGTTATGGTGCCAGGGGGCTGGGCTTGGGGCAGTGAGCCACTCCTGTGTCATTCCTGTCTCTGTATGTGAGGTCCTTCAGGTTGAATAACTGTCCTGGTCCTTCAGGGCCACCTTTGTGCACAGAGATGCTTGCCTGCTCTGCTGGGCCACGGGGACTTGGTGATGTCACTGAGTCCTGCCTGCCTGCACAACCCATTCGGACATGTCTACTTTGGGTTGTTGACACCACCCCACTGCTCTCAGATTTTCTGAACTGGCTCTGTCATTTCCATATGGCTCTGTCATCCCTGTTTGACCAGGTTCTTATTGTTGTTCAGTCACTAAGTCATGTCCAACTCTTTGCAACCCCATGGATTACAGCACACCAGGCTTCCCTGTCCTTCACTCTCTCCTGCAGTTACCTCAAACTCATGTCCGTTGAGTCAGTGATGCCATCTAACATCTCAGTTTCTGTTGTCCCCTTCTCCTCCTGTCCTCA